ATTAAACCAACTGCCAAAGTGTTTAGCCATTGAACAGTCATGACAGACATTCTTCCCTCCACTCTGCCTTCCACTTTCACGTTCACCAAACTTCTGTATCCCAAACCAGATAAACCAACTAAATCTGAGAAGCACGCCAACAGTACTACACGGAAGGTGTTCTTCGCAAATCGTCTCTCACTGTGTGACCGTTGAGATTCTCTAGGGATAAGAAAATCTACATATAGTGAGCATTAGTGTGAGTGCGGGAGTCCAGTGGGGTAGAAGGTGACTGTCAGATATACAAACCATGTCTGCGGGTAGACTGTGAGCATCTGACAGGACTCAGATATGCAAACCATGTCTGCGGGTAGACTGAGCATCTGACAGGACTCAGATATACAAACCATTTCTGAGGGTAGACTGTGAGCATCTGACAGGACTGTCAGATATACAAACCATGTCTGCGGGTAGACTGTGAGCATCTGACAGGACTCAGATATACAAACCATGTCTGATAGGGAAGGACTCCTCGCCCACAGTTCAGGGAAGAGTAGGCCTCCTCCTTCTGTCACCTGTGGCTGCAGAGAACTGGAACCCAAGAACGTAAACGCCAAATCAAAGCAGAGCACTGCTCACAAAGCTGTTTGAAAATGTACAGCTTCTAGCACAGCGCCAAGACAGGGTATTAGAGACCCGAGCTAAGCTGATATGGCTGGGCCCAAAAGACAAAGAAACGACTGACATGCTCACCTGACAGCCGGACACTTCCACCCCAACTCTGCACTGACTAACAACAGCAAATGCTGTCAGGCCAGCCAGGCTACAGTGGCCAGGCCGGCCAGCCCACCTGTGAGCTCTGAAAGGCCCCTAGCAGGCTACCGATTCTAGTATTCCTTCCCAAATATCCTAACTTAGTCACAGCTCCAGAACTCCACAAAACGTTGGCCAGGCTGTCTTACCAAAAAGGCCCAGGTGAAAGAAACTGAGAGAACCTCTTCCGCTCCTAACTTAGGAAATTAGTGCCCTCTGCATCTTAAAGAGTTCATTTTCGACAGTCTTCCGTATCTAACGCCACAGGGTAGCTGGAACCACAACCTACACACTACTAAAATGAGTTACTGTATAACAGATTCTGCTTGTCCCTGAAGTTAACATCGGGGCGCATGAACATGATGTCTTCATGAGCTAAGTCCCTATTTAACCCCCGTGTAGTTTGTCTGCTGCTCCTCTGAAGCAGTTCCTTATGCATTCCAGGCAGGCCTCCCACTCACTACGCAGGCAAGGATGACAGTGTCCTCCTGATCCTGTCTCCACTACCCAAGTGCTGCGATGACAAACATGTACCACCGCACCATTCAATCCCTATTTCTAAAAGCCTGGATATATAAAAGGACACATAAATGCTATTCTAATGTATATCCATTCATCTAGTAATTCAACTAGTCATTATTTAAATATTCATACAGCTTAAACTCACCTAACAATTCTTGAGAAATGATGTCATGATTACCAGAAAAGCATTTCCCCGGGGCTGTCACAAATCTACCCCCACTGTGACCCATCTTCTGACCTAACGTGTTTCTGAACCATGTGACTGAAGAGTATCTACATACTACACAGATTTTTCTTCTAAAAACTGCCCCTTCTACATCCATTCCAGGTTTTAAACAATGTAAACAAAGCCCTACAAAGAACTTCGGGGCTGGAATGTGGCTTTGTCAGCTGGTGTCCACAACTATCTTTCACCTACCTGAAGTAACTACAAAGTGAAGGTGAGAGGCTCTTCCCAGACAATGCATGTGCGCTCACCAAAGCTCGGCCACACCCGAATCCACCTGACTGGCCCTCTGCAGGTGGAGGTGGGTCAGGAGCAGAACAGCCACTGCCCCATAGGTGATCCTTGTGAACAGCGAAGCTGGGACCTGCAGCTTGTTCCCTCTGCAGCTACGTCCTTCCAGAAGCTCCAGGAAGCCTGGGGTAGGAGGGCTTCCCAAGCCCACGGCAGGTCTCTTCTACGGAGACCATCCAAGGCTGTTCCAAACAACCACTTCTCAGATGGCCTGGTCAGCACCTCCAATCACCTGTCACTGTGCTACATTCAGATGGGAGCCACATATTTACCTTGTTTTTTAGGCTACAGAATACAGAAATCACAACTTTTTACTACACTAAAATCCAAGCCCAACAATCTTGAGAGGATGGCTGCCTGCACACAGAAACACACAAACTTGGAAATGCAACAAACACAGGGGCTCATAATAATCAGCCCCAACTACGAAGTGAGGTGATGGCCCCAGGACGTCTACCTGAGAATTCGCACAGGCAGCCCACTGCAGAGGCACTGTGGGGGTCAGCATGTATCTTCCAACTCTGAAAGTGCAGCTGCAGTAAGCCACATACAGTAAAACAGAACAGCCTCAAAGGGAAGAGAAATTACAACTGTTTTGTAGGCAAAGAAGAAACAAAAGCACAGCTCTGGGAGACAAAGGCTGGAAACTAGTCTCTAACTCCCTTTCCTGTTGCCAGGCTTAACCCACTCTGGGGTCAAAGAACACAAACTGCTCGGAGGGTAGAAGGGAGGGAAAACGCTGCTGCGTTAAAGGCTGCACTACCGGGTATCCAGCGTGCAGTTCAGAACTAAGGGTTCAGGGCTCCTGCTGCAGAAGCAACTGCCCAAGGTTGGAATCGTGGCTCCCCAATGCCTGCTCTTACTGTGTGAGTCAGCGTGGCATTACATATTAAACAAGCACTTTCTCCTTTATACCCCAACATCCTGTCAGAATTCAGCTTTCCTAAAACTCAGAACAAACAAAACTGTCTAAAACCTGCACATCTCTGTTACTTGTTTACAAAGTCAGAACAAAAAAACTGAGGTTTATACAGTTTAATCTTAGTTTATCTGGGTTAGAGATCTCAACACTGTTGGGTTTATGAACTGTAGCTGGTGCCTTCTCTATTCCATGGCCCCTCTTACCCAGGGAGTGTTTGAACATCTACTTTCTAAGCAAAGATTTTTGAACAGGTTATTTTAATCAAATTACACACAACTTCTGACCTAGAGCGAAAACACAATCTATATGGTAAAATAGCTGGCAACCATGCTAAGCAAGGGTGTATGCTTTCACTCAAAGGATTACAAAATTAAGTCTCTACCCTACCTCCTTAGAGATCCCCTGCTTGCGACCTTACCCCTGCCTAAGACAAGACGAAAAGGAATTTTGATGGTCAAAATTCTTCAGTCTCTGACATCATCTAAAAAGTGTGAAAGGAGGCCAGAACTATCTCCACTTAATCAGAAACGGTCCCTTCTAACACTCTGTACCCACTACCACCCACCCCCGCTATTCCCATCCTCTTAAAGCTGTATAATCCAAAGGGGAAGGAGGGTAGAGAAAGTGTACAAGAGGTGAAACAACACAAAATTCTCCCAGAGATGGGGAGCAAGGAAACTTGGGGACACAATGGCATGCTGACCAGCCCTCAGGACCATCAGGTGGCTGGAGTGGCCCTTCCCAGGCAACCTTGTGTAAGGCATACCTAACATCTCTTCAAGCTATATGGCATAAAGTTGTTCAGAGCTGTAGCCCATGATCCCTGGCTTAAGCTTATGCAAATTGAAGTGACTACTTGAAATTGACCCAAAGCCCACATGCCCGGTGCTGAAGAAGGCTGCTTCCAAAGTACAGGCAAGGCACAACGTTGCTTTTGTTTTGTTTTAAATTATACCTGCTGGGGAAGGAGAGAGCATAAAAGCACACTACGTTACCGAATTCTCTCAGCAGAATGGGGGTGTCAGCGACGACTGAGGAGAGCCTGACTCAGAACAAGAGGACCAGAGGACGAAGACAGCTGCCTCCGCCGACCCCAGTCCGTGACCCGGCTGCTGGTGGCTTATCATCCCTCCAGACCTGAAAGTCCCTACCTCAAGATCAATCAAAAGCTGGGAGTGGGGGTGGGGTGGGGGGGAGAACATGTCTTCGGAAGGCGCAAGCAAGGCCACCATTGGATGAATGAAACTGGGCTAAGGGTACCAGGAGCAGGATTTTCGCTGAAGTCAGAAAAAGAGAGGTCAAAAGGAATTTTTTTTTTTAATGTGACAGCGGGAACAAGCGTGTGGGGTACACAGCCGGCACCGACAGGCTTTGGAGGAAGGTTGTATTGATCACTGACGCTGAGGACAGGCGGTCGGGACGAGCGGCCGGCGGGGACCACGAGCAGCTTCTCGACGCGTGGGAGTAGAACGGGGCCGGCCTGGGCTCTCTCGCGTGTCCTCCCGCGGTCCTTTCACCAGACTCCGGAGGGCCGGGGTCCGAGGCCAGCCTCGGCCCCTGCGTGCATGGCACACCCCCCTCCCGCGACCGCGCACACGCGCGGGCACACACCCCCC